TTGCGTCGTATTTTTGGATAGAAATAATTCACCTCCTTTTGTGGTGTCAGAAGACAGAAGCGCCTACGGAAGGCCGTCAGGAAAATAGGAAAAAATAAAATAAAAAATAAATGAAGAAATAAAATAAATATTACAATAATAACATTAATTAGTAATTAAAAATAAAAAAAATTAGTTATTATTAAAAAACTTAATAATTAAAATAAAAAAAATAGTGATTAAAATAATGAATAATTAAAGTAACATAATAATTAGCAACTGAAATATAAAATACTTATAAGTAAAATTTAATAAAAATGTAAAAACAAATAAAAATTAAAATAATTTTAAATTTATGATGAACATTAAATAATAAAGTAAAATACCAGATCTTGTCTTATTGGCTTAGTACCTTTTCGTCCTTTCTCATTTCATCCCAGCTCGAAAAAGTGTTCATTTCGTTCGCTGCCTTCCCCACCAATTCCCTCTTTCCCGTTTCATCCGCTGTTTGAAAAATAGGTGTTTACTTTACGATAAGGCGAACGTCGTCTGTTACTTCAATTAAAATGGTTTAGAAGAGATGACTGTTTCTACTTCGACTTAGCTTTTGATTTCTAATACTATTTAATATTTTATGCAGACAAATTATGTTGAGCAGAATAATGAATTTCAGACGTGGTCAAAAGGTGTGTATCTGAATATAATAACATTTTTGTTATATAGTATCCATTTTTTTTAATTTCACACATTTCTAAAGCAAAAGAACCACGGTATCACTATTTTGGCACACACACCAAAAACATGTATAATTAAGATTAATGTTACATTCCTTTATTAAAAGTAATGGGTCCTCTTTAAATGCAACCATTCATGCTTTTAGAGGATTTTACATGTGGTGGTCTTAAAAAGGTGATGTTCACTACCAATGTTTGTTTATGTTCTCAAAAATACAGATATCTTAAAAAGTGACCTCTTAGAGATGTCGTAAATAGATGATTTGCTATAATTATTTTCCAATAGATAATGGAATTAATGTCAATAACTCGAGGAAGCAAGTTTAAATACGGTGCAACAAAAATACAGAAGTATTTTAAATGACGAAAATATTCATATTTTGTCAATGTCAAATTTAAAAAGAATTAATTTTGGACAAATTATGAAATCTAACTTTTAATGTCGTCTTCTGGTTTCTATATTTATATCTGGCAAAGTTTTATACTCGTTATGAAAAAATAAAAATACAAGAAGTTTGAGTCCCGTAGGACAAGATTGACCGGGAAATTTAGTTTCAAAATTTGCAATGTTTGATGCCATTTGTAACTTGCCTTCGGGTATCGCTTAATTGAGTTAGAATAATTCGAGGAAATAAGTTTAAATGAAGTGCAGCAAAAAATAAGCATAATTTAAATAGTCGTAGAAGGAAGTCATGCGGAATCCATATCAAATTTTCACTTTTTTCATAATGACCATAAAATTTTCCCAAATACAAATACAGAAACTGGGAGACCGCATTAAAGATTAGCTTTCGTTATTGTCCGTTATTCGTTATTTCGTTTCGCTGCTTTCCCCCCCCCCGCTAATGACGAAAGGGTGAAATTTTCCCCGATTCATCCCCCTTCCAAAAACTCCTTGTTGAGACTGTTATTTGTTGAGACAAGGAATGCTATATTATAAATGTCAACTTGCTTTTTACACTTAACAATATGATCGGTAAACACATTTGCATATGTATAGGTTAAGTACGAATTAAGAAAGAACTTAAAAGAAATTTAGAAATAAGAAAATTATAAAAGGTAAGGAAATTTTTATGTTACTTTATTAGAGATAATAGTGAAGCACTAAATATTTCAATCAGTGTTATTTCATAATACTATGAGTATAGCTTTATTCATTTAAGAAATGGCCCACCAGCGGTCGAGCGGTAAAATCGCTGAACACTGGTAGTTCCGACCTGAGTTCGATCTCAGGCGAACGGGCTGGCTTCATGGGCGTTTTCGTGGTTTTTTCCCCCGTACCAGCTTACAAGCCAGCTTACCACGTACCATACGAGCCAGCTTTCCTAAGAAAGTGCTCTACGAAGGCATTCTTCCTCTTAGGCACATAGCCCCAGTGTGTTTTGTCATAATCAACTAAACCAAATCATTTAAGAAATATATCAGTTGATCACTGCTCAGTGTACATCTGCTGTTTGCTTACAAAAACACTTTGTAAAGACATTTCCACTATTTTGCTAATATTTCTGGAAGGCTCATAAAATCCGAAATTATGTTACACTAGCTAACAGAGAACTTAAGTCTGTTTAATACAACAAAAATCTACTTAACTTGCTTTCGTGTCTTTGGGAAAACGTAAGTATATGCAGAAATAAATATTAAAATCTATCACGTATATTTGTAAAGGATGTAAAGCATACTGTTTTGGTTCACGATAATGATAAATATGCATCATGTTACGACAGTTTTAAAAGATTACAAATAACTATACATATGCTAGACTTCTAACAAAATTTCTGTTACAATATATGAATATACATTTATTATTATGTGAGTCGTAAAATTCGGTATTCGTCATTTTTAGATTCTAAGTATATGACAAAAATTTTTTTGATTTTCGTTTTGTTTTTAAAAAATTAATTCACTTTATAGCTTTTCTTCAATTTATTGTAAAGGAATAGGAGTTTAAATTTTGATTTATATATAATATGATATAAATTCATCATTCATTAATAATATTTTATGTATAGCAGAAAAATTATTATTAATGTTTCAAATTTTAATTTTTTTTAATGATTTGTCTTACATTTGTTGTATATTTGTCGAATGTATAGCTAAATATTTCAATTATACACAATAAAGATTATGCTGAAAACAATTCAGCTGGCATGACAGCTAATTGCGAAAGAAAAATTAGAGTCTTATTGCTCTTAACTCTTAGTACAAGCAGCCATTTTTAAATTGACGTTAAAATAAATTTATTCTATGGTCTATTAGAAAATAACTATACTGAATCATTTATTGACGACTTCTAAGAGGTCGCTTTCTGAAAGAGACCTGTATTTTTGAGAACATAAACATACGTTGATATTGAACATCACTTTTTTAAGATGCCAGAGCAAATGCACAGAGCATAGACGGTCACGTTTAAAAAGGCTGACTACTTTTAATAAAGCATGTATATTAATGTTCATTACACATTTGTCACATTTTTACTTTCTTTCAAAACAGCGATACTGTGGTTCATTTGCTTTAGAAATATGTGAAACTAATAAAATGGGCCTGATGTTATAAAAACCTAATTATATTCAGATAGACAACATGATACTTTTGAACATGTTTGAAATCCGTTATTCTAATAAGAATACTTTGTCTACAGAAAATATGAATCAATATTAGAAATCAAAAGCTAAGTGAGATTAAAGTAATAAGAGTCATATCGTCTAACCCATTTTAATTGAAGTAAACAGGTGCTTACTTTTATCGTAAAGTGAACACCCTGTTTTTCAAACAGCGAATGAAAAGAAAAAAGAGCCCACCAGAGCTTGAGCGGTAAAGTTCACTAATAGTTCGGTCCGGGGTTCAATTCCCCGCTAACGGCTAGCTGCACGGGCGTTTTCATTGTTATTCCCGTGTGTAACTTGCATATGAGTCAGTTTCCTTTAAAAAATCCTCCACGAAGGCCTCCCTCCCCGTAGGCAATAGCCCTAGTGTGCTTTGCTGTAACCGAATAAACCGAAACCGAAAAAAAAAAAAAAAAAAAAAGGGAATTGGTGGTGGAAGGCAGCGACGAGAAACGTCGTTTTAGAAGAATGGGCTACATAACCAAATTTCTATCTATACTCTGGTAAAAAGTACATTATTTGCTCATCAAAAGCCTAAATTTAGCTAATGCTCGGCTTAGTTTTAAATTGCAATTTTCAGCCACAGCCCCCCAAACAAGACGATGTCTGGTATTTTATTTCATTACTTAGTTATTCATCATTAATTTAAGAATTAATTAAATTTTCATTTGTCTTTAAATTTTTATTGAATTATAATAATAATAATTTAATATTCTAGTTGCTAATTATTTTATTATTGTAATAGTTATTTTATTTATTTTTATTTTATTTATTTATTTATTCATTCATCTTTCCTGATGGCCTTCCATAGAGCTCCAGCACTTCTAATTTTAAAAATTAAGTCCTGACTACAACCAACGATTGCGAAAATAAAAGTCAATTCGCCTTACTTAAGGCTTTTATTATATATATATATATATATATATATATGTATGTGTACTTTACATTTGATTATAATTTATTTAATATATATATACATATTTACGTTTGGTAGTATTACCGATTGAATAAAAAGAGAGGTGCACATCTAGATGTTTATAACGGACCCATATACAAAATTTCAACGTTCTATAACTAATCGTTTTTGAGTTATACGAAATGCATGCATACATACTTATACATCACGTTTCAAACTCAACATCCCTTTCAAAGTATCAACTTAGAGTCATGTCAGCCAAAAAAAATAATTCACATGGATTCCGTAATCGTCAAAAATGGATATTTCCGTTAAAATATGATACCCAAAATTTTCTCGATTACAATACTACTACCATTTTCATTTCGATACAAGGAAGTAAAGAACCTATATTAACCTACATATTCTTATATAAACAATACCTAAGTGCAGTATATAAATATTTCAAATCAATAAAATCTCACTATGGCACGCTCAAGAAAAAAAAAAAAAATCAATAATCATCTAAATTTTCAAATTACAAACATAAATAGCAATAGTAAAAAGCAAATACAAAATAACGCTTCACGCTATCAAAATTGCTCATCTTAAATATCAACAACTAAATAATATTTCAACTAAAACACATAATGTAAACAAGAGTTTGCCCGATGCCCCAAAAAATTATCTATGAAAAATATGAGCGCATTGTGACGCAACCATATCATTCGTATTCGCATAGAAACCGCATCATTCGTACTCGAATAAATCGCATCGCGTGTAACGAACAGATGCGAGCAACGAAATGAATTTGTGAGTACCGAATCGTCAGTTACGAATACATGCGGTTTGCTCCAGCTCTATTTTAGAATGAAGTGTTTTCCATTCGTGGCACGCAGAAAGAGGCGCAAAATCTTCAGTTGTCCCCGGGCGCTGAAAACCCTAGCCAAAGAATCTTTGCCCTAGCTACGCCTCTGGAACAAAGAACGTCTTTGATAAGGTTAATTCGTGTGACAAACCAAGTGACTGACCTTCAATTTTGAACTTCCAACCAGTGTATTGCGTCACTCGTTTATCAAAGTAAGTGTTGCATGCTCCCCTTTCCCCTCTCTCATTCCGGAGCGCTAGTAAGAGGCAAACGCTTGTTTTTGGCCTCAAAATATATAGAGTATTTTGAAATTCTCTGAAGCGCGATATTTTTTGTTGCCTGCTTTCTAATTTTGACCACTTGTTTGGAAAAAGAAATTGACACTAAAGTAAGTACTTTCAATCTGTTTATAACTACAACTTTATATTTCAAATGGAAAGTTGACATTTCTACTGAAATGTCGGTGATCACCTCTTTTTTAAAGATAAAACGAAAGGCAACTGTGCAACGTTTTAATATCTTTCTTTCTGTCTCTCTATGTATGTGTGTGTTTATATATATATGTTGTCAATTATGTAAAATATAAAATACCTACCTTTCTAATTGTAAATTAACGATAGCCGTTTAACTCCTCTTTTAAGTTTGAGCATACTCCCCTCTTCATTCTAAAAATAGTACAGCAATAACTTTTCTAATACAATCTTTACTTCTGTAATTCTAAAAAGTGATTCTCATTTGTGTTATGCAATTATTCCTGGAATACGAAAAAATCTTAATCTAGCATCCGAATATTAATCTGTTATATATATATCTGAAATTTAGTTCTCTTTAATGTAAACATTCTTATAACGTGATCCGAAATATAATCTGTTTAATGTTATAATTGCTTTGGTATAAAACGGTCATTGATGCGTAATCTCGCTATTTTTTGGTCGCTTCTTTTTGTTTGCTTGTCTGCTCTGCTGTAACAGCATGCTGCTAACTTCATAATACATATTTTTAAGTTAATCCGATGTAAGACGTTCTTTAAGAACAAGGCGCAGTAGCCTTGAATTTTGATTTTCGAATTTGATTTGTGTTGGAATAAGTAAAAATGTATGCCAACCATGAATAAAAAGGTAAAGTGGCATTGTTTGGTATGACTCCTATATATGAATGAAACAGCATTTAATATAAAAATATATCTTATATCACACACAGAAACGAGATTCGTACCAAGAACATTGCATAGCACTCTTCCTCCTCCCAAACGCACCCGCCAAAGGAGACTTTGAGGCGAGAGAGAAGTTGTGACGTAAAACATAACACGTCATGTGCGCCTCTTGCTGATGCGACGTATCTCTCGCTCGCATGAACGAAGTGCTATACAGCAGCGGTTCTCAACCTTTTGACTAAAGCATACCATCTAAACAAAAACTGAAAACCTTCAGTACCACCACTACAAAGTACTACTACCCCCACAACTTTTGATCAAAGCTCAGATCGCATAAATTTACGAGTGTTAGAGAAAAAACTCAATCAGGGTGTTAAGGGTTTTAATTTTTGAATTTAACAGTTGAAAATACTTTGCTTCTTTGAGTACCACCTATTCTCCTCCTGCGTACCACCAGTTGAGAACCCCTGCTATAGAGTATGCCCCCAGTGACGAAGTCACGATTACAAATTATAAAAAAATATTTACGATATATACAGAAAATGATGATATAATGCTAGTAGAAATATAGGAAATGAAGTACAATGCAATAAGAATATAGTATACGTGATTATAAATGCAGCAGGAATATTTGCGTAGTTCAAAACGTTGTGGTGTAGTGGCCGAAACCGCTGCATTCCCCCGGGTTGTCATACAGGGTTGAAATGAACTTCAACTCAAGTTCTAACAATACAATAACGTGAATTTTAATAAGATAAAAATATTAATAATTGCGATTCTTGACAGTATGGGACTTGGATACATTTAGTCCCGTATTTCAGAATTTTGTTAACAGATGGTATATCGCATTAAACACGAGGAATAATAGTTCTAGCGGTCAACATGCCCATAGCTGTAGCAGGAAAGAGTCCCGTCTCTTCTCAGGAAACCACCTTTTACTGTGTCGTTACTTGCGTTGAACACCCGGGGGGGAGGGGAATTCCTTCGTTCCTACATAACAAAAGTGTCCATCTCCTGCCCCAGATGAAAATACACCTCTGATATGAAAACTATTGCACTCTGAAATCATTCATCCTAGACAAAGAACATCTATGCGACCTTATCACAACTTCTCCCCTCATAGAAGAATTTTCCTAGACTGTGGAAGGGAAATTTCACAGCTTTCAGAAGAAAAATGGTAACCATTTAAGTGATAATAGAGAAGCCAATTACTTTAACCTGCACTTATTTCTAGATAACATCACCTTGAGACAGATAACATAGAAACAAGAATACAACAAAAATAATTTAAACTACTCATAATGTCTGCCTCACACAAAGTATATTCCTCAAATTTCACAAAATGCTAATACTTAAGATAAAACATTTGATTTTAATCATTTTGACAAAGAAACACACGATGCAAACCATTTTGAATTTAAAGTAGTATAATGCCAAAACACTACAAAAATCATTTTCATCAATTTTTCAGTAATTTTCAGTTACATTGTATCCACTAATGACATTCAGTCACTAGACTAAGGCACGACTCAAACCATCTGCATTACCGTGTAATTTTTGTGGCCTATGAACAATTTCAAAATTGTACTGCTGGAGACACAAGGCCCAGCAAGTCAAACGAGAATTTCATCCCATTATTTTGTTTAAAAATGTTAATGGATTATGATCCGTCTGGACCTTGAATTTTTGTCCGACTAAGTAATGATTTAGTTTCTTCAGTCCATAAATAATGGCCGCTAGTTCCGCTTTAGAAAACGTTTTGCTAAGATATAGTATAGGGTGTTTCTCCCCATCGTGAATTTGGGACAACACAATACCTGCGCCATATACACTGGCGTCGGTCTGCAAAATAAATTCTTGAGAATAATCTGGTGCAAATAAAACCGGACTTTTTACTAGTTTGTTTTTAAGTTCATTGAAAGCCTCGTCACACTCTTTTGTCCAGGTCACTTTTTCTTTTTTATTTGTGCCCTTCAAAGCATCTGTCAGAGGTATCGCAACACGCGCGTAGTCTTTTATGTACACTGCTAAAAAAAAAAAAAAGAAAGAAAAAAAAAGAAAAGAAAAAAAAAAAAAAAAGAAAAGGACAGTTTTATAACTCCCGTTCTACTGGGCCGATTGACAAAATTCAAATTGCGTTCTTCATGTCTCGAAAGCGCGACTTAGGATATATATTAGATTTATATATAGCACTATTCTAACATAGGTATTTTTGACACAAAATCGGACTTTTTCTGAAATAACATACCAATTTTTTTACATATTTCGATTCTACGACTCAAATTACGCCTAAATATGAATTTTTGTAAAATTTGGAGCGAAATTTACGGAGAAATTCAGAAATTTATATTGGCACTTTTTTTTTCAGTTTGCGCCAAGAATAGTTCACTTGGCGAAATTCTTGATATGGCAACCTAGTTTCCTTTCCCGTGAGAGGAAAAAAAGTCACCATCGTTCCTTTTTTCCAAATAATATTCTCTATATTTTTAATTATAACTGTTATTATTTTAAGTAATTTTTTCTTTTTCGAATTTCATTTTAATTAAGTTGCATGGTTTTTTCGAATAACTGTTTTAAAAATTTCTATTTACCTATTCCAGCTGCGTAAATAAAGGTGCAGCGTTTATTTTTTTCAAATAGTTTTATTTATATGTATATTTTTGTCATAGTTATTATTTAGGTAATTTTTAAAATTTTTATACTTTTATTTTAATTGTTTGTGTTGCATTGTCTCTTCAAATATTGTTTTAAAATTTTCTATTTATTCCTTCGAAATGAGCATTTTAAATATATTTATTAATATAAATTTTTCAGAATTTGATTTTATTTATTTGAATTGCGCTTCTTTCGGAAGAATACTTCGCAACCCAGACTACAGATGCGTTTGAAAACTGCATGTATTACAAGAGAAAATACAGTAAAGCACAGTTAACACGCCTTTCAATGTTCGGTTCAGAAAAGATATATGTAAATAAGAGAGATGTATAACCGACATTTTAACTCAGGATGACTTGCATACACTGCTTTAAACAGTTTTATCATTGTGCCCATTGCTTTACACAATTTCATCCTACATTTGGTTTCTTAAAATGTTATCCATATTTTAGTCAAATATTTTATTTTTGAAATCCCAAGAATCAAACTTCCCAATAAAGAAGCATAATTTTTTTATACAGTTTTCATGCGGTTTGAAACTTAACATCTTTAGGTGACATCCACATACATCACTGGATAAACTCCTGAATCTTCAAATAATTCGAATGAGAAAAATCATAAGATTAAAAGGTTTTAAATTAAAAAAAAAAAAAAAAAAAAAATACAAATACTAAATTTTACGCAAAAATTTATTTTTTCTTCTCTTTCTCTTCAGGCATTCTACTTTATTCTCGCTCTTTTTCTTTAGGCATTCTGCAAGTATTTTAGAAAGCATCCAACTTTTCGAAATATCTTGGTATTTCTGACAATCATTTTAAATAAAGTTATCACCTTCCATTTCATAAAGGCCCACATACGGCCGAGCGGTAAAGTCGCTGAACTCTGGTAGTTCACTCCGGGGTTCGAATCCCAGTAAGCGGGCTGGTTGCATGGGCGTTTTTGTGGATTTTCTCATGTGTGAAGCGTATGCCAGCTGGTTTCCCTTAGAAAGTTCTTCAGGAAGTATTTGGTCAGAGCCTTTATCAGTCTTTAGAGGCTAAAAATTTTGAAGGTATGAGATGAAAGGAAAGACTGGTTTCCTCAAGGGGTTTTGGTTTATTTAATTATGACAAAGCACACTAGGGCTATCTGCCTAAGGGGAGGAATGCCTTCGTGGTGGACTTTCTAAGGAAAACTGGCTCGCATACACGTTACACATGAGGAAAAGTCCCATGCAGCGAGCCCGTTCGCGGGATTCGAACCTCGGACAGAACTACCAGTGTTCAACGACTTTACCGCTCAGCCGCTGTTAGGTCAGGAGGGAAAAGAAAAAAAAAAAAAAAAAAAAAAAAAAAAAAAACCCCTTTAGGTGACATCCACATACATCACTGGATAAACTTCTGAATCTTCAAATAATTCGACTGA